CCCTCCACTCTGCGAGAGCAGCCTGGGTCTCCTCGTGCTTCTCGCGCGCCTCCTTTGCGGCGCGGAAGCGGCGGGAACGCTGCTGGTTCATCTTTGCGCGTGGTGCGACGCCATCGATGGCCATCATGAGGAGGCGGCGCGGACGGACCATGCTGACGACGCGCTCTGTGTAGGCAAACACCTCGACCATCATCTCCTCCTCAGTTTCGGGCGCAGGTTTGCCTTCTGGATGTGTACATGGATGTACGATGCCGTTCATATCTAGATATAGACAGTCGAATTCCTCGCCGTTGGGATTGGGCGTGGAGGTGTCGAGGGGCAGGGTGATGGTGGTGCCATCGGGGCCGGGAGCGGTCTTGTTCTCCTCCTCCTGGACCGAGGATACGATGCGGGGGTACTTTTTGGAGAGCCATCGGAAGAGGGCGGGGACACCCATGGCTGGCGATATGCACAGCTAGCCAGCTGGATTGGAGACCGGAGAGAGAAGGCTGGATGTGGACGTAGGCGAGTGGGTGGAACAGGCTGAATCTAGAAGAAGCAGACACGCAAAGACAGACTGTTTTGATGGTGTTTGGTCCCGCTGCCAGTGTATGTTGATGATGGTGTTGGTGGTGGGATCGTGAGGCTGAGCACAGAAGACGAGGTGGAAGTGGCCACTTTTCTTTTTCCACCTGCGGAGGCGGACGAACCCTTTTTCGATGCGATTTTGGTTGCCGATGCGCAGCGGCCCTGAATTACTCTGCGCGACTGGCGTGGTGCGCTGCGCTGTGGTGACGCGCCAATTGCCGAGGCCGAGCTCGAAGAATTTTGCCCATCTGCTCTGCATCGGGATTGCGTCTTCTGTGCATCCCGATCTCGATTGGGCCTCCACCTCCGTGCGCGGTGGGAGCGAGGAGCTGCCGCTCTGTGCATATCGAGTGGATGCGGCGCTGCTTGGCTTCCTTCGTCTCGGTGCTCACCAGCGCATCATCCTGCCCGGCAGACAACAACACGGCCCCGGCCAGGGGTCCGACCTAGCTCATCATGGCAGCTACCGGTGGCAAGGTAAGCAACCTCTGTCAACACACTGCTAGAGGGCACCCAACCCGCTGACTTCTTCGTCGCTGGACCCGTGCTCTGTTGCATCTCACATCGCAGCCCGCCAACGTGTACTTGCACCGGCAGGCGGGTACACCCAAGTCGTGCTTCGTGTGCTACAAGCAGACCACACACGTGCTCGTATCCCAATCGCTACCCACGCAAGACTTCATGTACGTCTGCCACGCGCACCTCGCCGATCGACACTTTGCGACCAAGCTCTCGGATCCTTCGGGCACCTCTACTACCGCAACAGCTGCGGCCACAACCGCGGCAGCTTCTGGAGACCGACTTCCGGACAAGGTGAGCCAGCAGGAGATCGACAAGATCAAGCAGGAGTACGAGGCCAAGCTCAAGCAAAAGAAGGACAAGGACGACAAGGATAAGGATAAGGACAAGAGCGGCGAGAGTAAGCCCTTTTCTGCCATGTCGGTGGCCGGCAGCGTCTTCTCAACCGTCACATCCACCGTCTCTGGGCTGGCATCTTCAGCCATGGCATCCATCCCCAACGAAGCGGCGCCATTGGCTGCATCCACGCCAACAGTCACAGCTACGGATCAGCTGAGCAAGCAACATCCGCTCCACGCCACCTATGCGCTCCATCGCGAATTCTACGCCGCCCGCGTGCGCAACTACAACGAGCGCATGTTCAAGACCAAGGAACGCCAACTCAACATGCCGCCCGCTCCCAAGAACGCGCTGCCCTGACCGCTCCTTCGTATCTCTTCGACGTCCAATGCAGATGCTGTGTGTACTGCAGTATGCAGCGTGGTGCACGTTCGGGTCACAAGGATGTGGTGGATGCTGCACTTGAGATGATGAAGGCCAGTCGAGTGCTACGGCAAGCAGGTGGTCCCTGAGCAAGGAGCTTTGAACCACGACCGGCCGCGTGCTGTGCTGTTGGGAAATGGTCCGGGCATCCGAGCAAGAGAAGCGCGCCTTTTTGTTCGCGAATCCGGCGAATTTCGACAGGCTTTGACGCGCCCTGGCCACGTTGCCATGCGTTCCTTCGCACCCCTCACCATCCTAACCTCGACCGCCATCCACCACCACCATCATCATCATCATCATCATCA